CCAGAAGAGAATTATATATATAGTTATATAATATATTATTATATATTTTATATATATATATATATATATATATATATATATATATATATATATATATATATATATATATATATATATATATATATATATATATATATATATATATATATACACTCTTCTAATATTAGACATAATTTAGTTTTTTAATTTTGTGACTCAATGACCAAAAACTTCCTTAATATTATGTATCCTTTTTGACATTAAAATCTATATTCATTGAATTTATTCGTTGTATGTCATTGTACTTTCCGTACTTTAAAACAGTTTAATTATAATGTTTCGTGATGATACTGTCCCATTCGTTTAATGTGATTCTTTTTTGTCAGCGATCGATTTTATGTTATGTATCACAATACAGACGAAAGCATAAATCTTCTACAGTTGCATAATTTTATGTGTGTTTCTGTATTCAAATATGCTTTTTATTTTATATTTAAGTCTTTATAAAAAATTAAAATTTTAGTACTTCAAAGATCTCATTTTCAAAATAAGTGATTTTCCTTAAGTTGTCAGTGTATCTCAGTTAAATACTGAACTCAATGTTGTGAAAAAAAATTTGTAATGGACAGAGAGAGAGAGAAAGAGAGAAAGAGAGAGAGAAGGAAAGAGAAAGAGAGAGAGAGAGAGATGTACACAAAGGCTTTTATATACTAGTGTGGCTCAATTATAGACAAAATATTGCAGTAAAAAAAAATTCTGTTTTTACTTAAAAAATAAGAATATATAAGAATTTAAGTATTTTGATGCAAATATTAATTGATTTTTAAAAAGTATATCAATACAAGTGAATTTTTTTACTGTAAATTTTCACTTTTTACGGAAAAAACATACCACATAGAGTGTGTATGCCGTCTGTTTTACGTTGCGCGTTCACACAAAAGTTACACATTAAGGGTTAAAATATTTAAAAGGCTAATACATCTTCATTTATCAATCTGCAATCAATCGGTCAATTAGATGTAATTTAATTTTCATTCGGCAGTTTCGATTCGCGACGGCCCACAAAAAGAAAGACAGACGGAAAGAGGGAGCAATGTAAATAAAAGTTTGTAATGAAAGGTCGTAATAATGTTTTATAGGTCAAACCACTATCTCGTGCTGTAAGCGTAGTGATATTATTAATGTCATTTTTGTTTTAGATTTACAACATGAAAATTATTATAATAATATTAAGTCGGTTAGCAGGAGGTGATTAACAATTTCGGATAATAAGAATAATTAAATACAGGCTTATTTATACAAAGGTTAATCTGTTCACCACCCGCATTACTGCAGTGGCCCCTATCTCAACCTCCTTCTCAATTGTCAACTAATTCAGTAGCCCACATGTAATTTTAAATTGGAATAAGGGATTAAGTTTACTGAATAGTTCTAAAGATTAATGTGTTTGAATAGGCAATGAATAAATATCAATGTAACACAGAAGCATATTTAAAATGTAGTCAAAGAGGCAAGTGAGTTGCGTTGTTAAGGCTGTAGGCTTAGAAATAAAGCAATGCGTTTTTAGTTAGAGAGCGGTATAGTTAGAGAGAAAATACGTAGGTATCATTTAGCGTAGTTTGAATCAGAGACATAGCTACCGCTCCAGGAGCCAGGGGCGAAATCTCAATTTGGCTCACTTCCCCCTTATATATATATATATATATATATATATATATATATATATATATATATATATATATATATATATATATATACTAGGCATGCTGCCCAGCTTCGCTTAGGCTTTCGAAAACATTGAGAATTTGAATGCTTAATTAATTCGCCCGAGGGTCGGTCTAGGACCTCAGGAGTTATGAAGAGGTTCCTACGTGGACATTTTTGTTCGAATTATAGCTCATATAAGGCGCCGGTCAGTCGAGGTCAGTTTTGACCCCCCCCCCCCCATCGTAGACTTTTCGGCCAACCCAAGGCAAGATCCTGCCATATTTGAAGCGCCTGCGGCGCCGTGAAGTGCCATATCGGCCACCCGACAATTTTGCTTTATAGATCTATATTACAGAGATTAGCAAATTGCATAGATAAACAAAGATTTCAATAAAGTAATTAAGGCCTGAAATACTTTAGTATAGAAATGTATTATTTGAATAGATTCTAGATCTAGGTAGGGTCTACATCTGTGTAAGTCTAGTTTTTCAGTAGATCTAGATCATCTAGATCTAGATCTAGAATCTCTAGATCTAGATGATCTAGAATATCTAGATCTAGAATCCAAATAGATAAAATAATTGTTTTAAGTTTAGGCCGAGAATATCGTATTGTATAGTCTACATTTCATAGCGTACATAGCTCTAAATCATATTTGAATGAAATAGTTCATTTCTTTTTATTCTAAACACGGAAGATGACGTCATCAGTTTCTTTTTTTATTTTATTTTTTTTTATTTTTTTATTTTTTTATTTATTTATTTATTTATTTATTTTTTTTTATTAATTCAATTGTTTTAAACATTTAAATCAGTAATAATAATATATTTGATAGATTTTACATAGCATCAAAGACATGAACAATGAACATCAATTGCATATATAATAATCAAAGGGCAAAAATGAATTGGCATAAGAACTAGATTAAAATAAGGTGTGCAAACTAGGTTTCTCTTCACTGCTTAGTTTAGTGTGCTGCGGAGTCAAAAGTTCACACTGTAGCCACCCATGGACAGAAATAGAAACGACTGTGGGAGAAGTGTCTCTGTATTCACGTAGGCCTACTGATCTATCATTCCAAAACTTTCCATGACATAAAATTGACCCTTGGCAATGAGGGCACGCTACCTTGAAATGTCTGCCAGTCCAGTTTCGTGCTCTTTTTTTAGTGTAAACAATAAGCGACGTCATTGTTAAATGCGTTGTTGTCCCAAGTATATACATTTTTCCGGTTGCATAAATAATACTGTTTCTCTACATTCGAATACGCCTTTATTTTTTATTTTTCTTCTTTAAATAAAATTGTGGTTATACATTTAAAACATCTAACATATTATTTTCAACAAAAGTCCGTATAAAGGTATCCATATATCGCTGCCGATTCTGACGTGATGTCCGGCGAAAATATTTGTGCCAAATAACATCCCGTTAACAATGATGCAGATTGCGTCATTCGCTAAAGTGACACAAATGAACAGGATTTTTAAAAAAATATTTGACGTGTTTTAAACGTTAGTGTGACTGATGCAACATGTTAGCGATCTCAATTTCTGATTGGATTGTCTGAAAATAGATGATAATTTAAAATTCGCAAAAAGTCGAAACTGTTTGGATTTTTTTTACGGACAAAAAGAAACATCCCAGTTAATAATCTAACCATGGTTAGTTTTCTGATTATAAAAATAAAACGTATTACATGGCCCTCAGCGGCCCATGTGAGACTTGGGGGCCGAGACAGAAATTTTTATTTTCAGCAAAATAGCACCTTATCAGGGCACCGGAGGACACGCCTGATTCAATTTAGTAAGCGTTTGTAACGCCCCATCCTATCAGTCTATCACACTGTTTAGACCGAACGTAGTCGCCATAGCGCTCACGGGAAAGACCATGGCGACAAAACGCATCCTGCCGGGAGACCGCCCATACAAAATTAACCCCACTCCCGCCGCCACCCACCCAACCCGAACCCAACCCCCCTACCAGCCCAGCAATCTTATCCCTAAAGGTTTATGGCACCCGGATAAACTGTGTCGAACCACAATCGTCTTTTATTTCTATATACCGTATATAGAGAAAAATCCCACCATCCCGTGACGCTGTCTTTGCAGAGAGAGAAAAATCGCACCCTCCTGTGGCGGATGAACGGTGTCAAACAAAAATCAATTTTTATTTTTATATACCGTACATAGAGAAAAATCGCCCCCCCCCCCCCTCATAAGCTCCTATGATGAAATTATGCCACCTAACATAGTTTTAAACCTGTATATTCCTATCGGTCCGGTGATTGCAGCGTTCTAAATCACTCCGCTAGGTAGGAATTAACCTGCTTTAAAATTTATGCCCAGTTTTTGAAACGACAGGTCTGTTAGAGACGTTGTTGAATTAAAAAGAAGAATTAAAACCTAACCTACACACCCGTATGGAGCTTCATATATACAAATAGGTTAATCTCAAAGTATAGACAAATCCATAGCTACTTTTCTGTTATCAACGATAGTAAAAAAAAAATCCAATAAATATATTTTGGTTTTTGCTTACAATTACAAAGACTGTTGTACATACAAAAGGTGTCGACGTGGTCGACTGAGTAAAAGCTCATGGTTGCTAAACCGAAATGTCGCGAGTTCGATCCCTTAGGACAGCCACTCTTCTAGTAGAGACAACTCCTAAATCAAACAACTGCTGCCTTGTAGTTTGTTCTGGGTTGGACACATGCGATGGAAGCAAATCCAAAAGGAAAAGCAGGCTGAAATCGGAGTCATGACCTCAACAGCGCATTGACACGTATACTTAATTTTGTTGGAAGGACTAAAATTAAAAGCGAAGAAGAAAAAGGAAAGAAAAAGTATGTCCAAAGCATAAGCCTTTTCTGCGCAATATTTTAACTTGTGCTCTCCCTAAAACAATAAATGTGTTTTTGATAGAATTCGCTTACAAAACCCGACGTTAGTGAGTAAATCACATCAGGCTAGCGTTCTTTATCAAATCTACATATCAACCGTGCCATAACCGTAAGCTGCTGTATCTTCTTTTCTTGACTAAACCATTGACTAGTCGTCTTCTTCTCTTCACATTAAATACACGTTTGTACACTCCCCAAGACCAGCAGTTACCTCAATGTTTTCAATATAAATATATTTTTTTCGAGGGGGTGCATCATTTGGTGCCGCGCCGGGTTACGCCAGACCTAGTGATGCCCACTGGACAGACAGACTGACCGAGAGTCGGACAGACAGACACATTATTTATTATATAAAAGCTTATATAAAACACCCATAGATCGTGTTACTTACTCATTCGCTTATCATTAGCATACGCTCCTCCCACATTGGACAAACAGTCACATCAATTAATTGCTACTAACTGCTGTCAAATCAGGAAGGCTTATTGATCGTATATTTTCCTTTATAACTTCTGTCATTGTAATTATTGCATTCTAGATCTGCACCAAGGGTTGAGGTATGTTACTGTTGGTCAACTTATAACTAGATAAATCCGATTTGTTTACATTACTTAATCAACTCCTTTTATGTTGTTTATTTTAGACTACTGATCTTCTTGTGTAACGCAAACATGCAAATGAACAGAGTAGAGTTTGTATTTTAATAAAAACAAAATTGGCGAAATTCACATTTGAAGCAAATGTTAAGGACTGAGTAAGATTTAATGTATTAAAGTTTTAAACCCAGCTTAAATAGTGGTAGTAGCTTAGTTATAAAATACGTTATTGGACACGACTTTAAAGACATTACAAGATACAAAACATGTGAAGGCCTACTTGGGTATTATCGAAAAGGGAAATCAATTAAAAACCTGTTTTCGTGTTAATTTTTTAGTGGTAAAATCATGCTAAAAATATTCCATCCCATCCGTCATCTGCACCCTAAACAAACTTCAGTTTAGTTTTTAAAAATAAGTTTTTTTATATATTATGTAATATTACCCATTTCGAATCTTGCATTATAATTTATAACGAGATAAATGGCCAGTTGAGGAAGGATACTACGGGCGCTAGGTTGATAGTGTTCTCTTTTTTTCTAAATCAAAACCAAAAACATAATCACCACCTCAACTTCAAATTTAACCGGAAACGAAAAATGTCATTGAAGACGGATGTCTGAGCAGAATCGCATTTTAACCGGAATTAAGCTTGATCTACGCGTAGTTTCTGGATATTGATACTAAACGTAGTCGAAGTTATATACCTAATCCTTGCACCTAATCACAAACACGACATAAGTCGCATTTGGGAGGGGGGGGGGGGGTCCGCCACTCGCAACCCCCCCATACACACATACACACCCTAAAACACGTCTACCTGCCATTCAACGAAATATAATTTTTGTAGAAAACATATTTTACCAGTGTCTGTCCCCTTCCAAACAATTTAGTCCACCCTTACTCCCGAAAATGTCAAGTACCCCCACCTCCGGGATGGAATAACTCTGAAAGAAACAGTCGTCGCATTTGTAGATTATACAAACTAAAGGTAGAGCCTACTTCTATAATATAGACCTGTTTCCTACTTTTGGCTGATAAATTTCACTCACGCAAGCAGTGTTCTTTTCAGGCTTTTTTTTTTCCGGGGATAGGGCACTTGAATTTTTGCAGGGGCGAAAAATTTCTCCCTGTCGGGGGAGACCGACATTGGTAAAAGTAAATATTTTCTATATAAATTTTATTACGATTTTTTTTGCGGGGAGGGGGGGGGGGCATTATATGTTCTACCTTGGGGTGGGGGGGGGGCTTCGCCCCTACCCGAAGAGATGTATGAAAGAAACTCTTCACGCAAAACACTTTTAAGATTAGACAAAATTGGCTTTTTAATTCAATGTTTACTCGAGAATTAATGACGTCATATTACTGCACTATCCGCCTTGAGACAATTTTCTACTATATGCTCTATGTGACGTCACGTTTCGTTTTTCGAATTACTATGCCTGTTTTTATTCTGCTTCTGTTTTCGCTAAAGCGTTCTTAACAGAAAGATAGATAGACAGATAGATAGATAGATACACAGATAGACACACAGCGAAACTATTATTATAGATACTTAAAAAGTCATTATTCTTTCCGTTGTTTTTCATTCATGAACAGTGTTATTTCAGAAATGAGCATCTATATTGAATTCAAAGTACTCGCTGCGCTAGTTTTTGTTGCTGTTGTGGAACCCGATTGTCGTGATGTAAACTGGGAAGATTCCTTTGACAGGCTTGGACTGTCAGAGTGTGATCGAATGGGCGACATGCTCGTCAGTTTCTGCCGAAGTCCTGTGGACCGATCCGATGATCGTATTGGCCGACTGGAACGTGCTAGATGCTGCAGTAAACCATTTCCATGGCAAGAAGGCAATGACTATGTTAAAGAAAATTGGTGGCAATCTATGGACACTGATTCTACTTGGTCATTGTGTCGAGATGGGTATTTCCTCACTGGTCTGTATAGGTCAATCGGAGGGTCAACTCTCAGCAACATCGAGGAAGCACGCTGCACCAGACCACTAAATCACCCTGCTAAGTATGGACTCTGCGAAGATGTTGACATCTCGGATTGTTTTGAGCAGGCTAAGTGTTGCTCTTGCCCAGACGGAAGCTTCATTGTTGGTCTGTATCGTGGTGGTTGTAGCGACCTGCGATGCTTGGACAAGCTACGCTGCTGCACGATGACTGTGTCACCTAAATAAACAAGAAGTTCAATGATCAAAAGTATAGGTACTATATTTTTGGATTCAAGAAATTAAAATCTATCTTTACTTACATGACAATTGAACTGAACTTTAATAAATTGTGAAAACTGTATTATTGTGTAAAGTTGTCTTTACTTTTAATAAAAATGTTATTAAAATTTTGGAAGACAAAATATTTATTAATAAGCGTACTAATTATCACTAACAACTAGCCTAGAAGTCATACGTCGCAAACGGTTGAATTCAACTAAAAGGAAGTCAAAAAAAGATGAATTAATATAACATAAAATTGATGCTGACAAAGTTCAATGAAAGCATACATTACTGAAGTAGAAAGTAATGATTCCTCTTTAGACCTAGTGATCTATTGGGGATATGAAGTGGAGTTGAAATTATGTTTCCTGACCTTGGCATACGAAGGGATATTATGGTCAACTCTATGCCAGCCACCTTTACGTTTCAAAACGTAATTTAGGTACCCATCAGAGTTGGGTGGACTCAGTGACATTCCACTGACTTTAACCCGGATTCGAATTCGAAACTTTCGTGTAAGCAGTCTATTGCTCTATGCAAGGCCTACCAATAATACTGAAGTAGAGCGACTGAACGATTTCACATTCAATGACAGTTTTGTCAATTTCGAATTTGACTGTCGCCATTTAAATGAAAACACAGAAGAGATACAGCTAGGTGAGGGCGGATGTGGCTGCCGAACCTAATGGAGCGCCTAACTGGGTAGTATAAAAATAAAAAACTCATTTTGAGTTGCATTACTGAATTATGCGTAGTCCAATTTCAGGAAATAAATTGTTACTTTGCTCACGTGGCTAATGTAACTGTTATCTAAATCAATTTGATGACATCATCAGTTAAGTGTCCTCCTCTAACCAAGCTGGGGAAAGTAACTTATCGTAGTACTTATAGTGTTGGAGGTTATCCCGTCCAACATTAAAATTATAAACGAATAACTAGTAAAAAAAAAAGATTAATGTTTTTCTTTGCTCTTTATGATGTGATGTGATCTGACCAAGATGTCTTTAAATGGTGTCAGTTTGATTGTGGACTTTGCAGCCAGGAGCAGGTAATCTGAAGCTGTGTCTTTTCCTCGTTATACTCTCACGTCCAAATAACTTCTAGTAACTGTGATGTCGTCTGTTTGGTTTTCATTTGGTCCAGGAGGTGGGTGGGTGGGGTGTCTTTTGGATAGCTTTGCATGGACATATTATCCCATAATTGAAAAGGCTGTTTATGGAAAATATATCTGCAAGACCTTAAAAAGCTGACGGTAAAAAGCAATTACATTTTTGCTTCTTTGACAATGAAAGTTCGTACATACATGACGGCAAGTCAGAGAAACACAGTGCCGGAACTACAACACAACATTTGCGTGATTGTATTTCAGTGTGTGTTTACAATTGTCTAAATTACAAGTATAAAGTTCGCTAAAGAAAAACCTTTATACAAAGCAACTTTAAAAAATCTAAACTCCCTTTACACATCTGTTATGTGGCTAATTCTGTGAGTTATAGTAACACGAATAGAGTTAATCCATCTTAATCTTAAATAATGCAAACAGTGGCATAGCTAGGATTTTCGTGCCCCTATGCAGGAATTATTAGTGTGCCCTTCGTCAGTCGTTAGGCTACAGCGGAATTCAATTGGGGCGGCAAATGTACTACTATGACGGAGAGTCGGGGAATAATATACATCTTCTATACATTTTTGTATTTTACGCGTCCTGATTGTGTAGTTATACTACGTTATTATGTAGACCTTCTACGCCACGGGAGTCAATTTTGGTTTTACACCGTTATCCGACAGCCATGAGACTTTGGAAGAGTTGATTGGGATACTCTGGGAAAGGGTTTTGTAAATAAAAAATCATTTTTAATTTCGCAAGGGCGGCACCACGTGAGGGTGCGTTTTTTCTCTATATACGGTATATAAAAATAAAAGTCGATTGCGGTATATATATATACATATACACATGTATATATATATATATATATATATATATATATATATATATATATATATATATATATATATATATATATATATAAGTATGTATGTATGTATATACACATATATATATGTGTATATACATATATATTTATGCATATATATATATATATATATATATATATATATATATATATATATATATATATATATATATATATATAAAGAATTTATTTTTGCGGGGTGGCTCTTTTTTTCTAGTTCCGCCACTGCCTGTACCTACTTTTATTATATACTATCCTAAATAGTATCTTTATCATTGCGGTTAACCGATACCGTTACAGATACTTTTAACAATGTGTTATCGTTACCCTAATCGATGGGTAATCATCAGGTATTTAAGTCCCACAGCAGTTTTCGGGTCGGGGTATGGTCCTGGAAGGCGTGGTAATTAAGAGGAGCAATGGTCATAAGAAAATATATGCGTGTTTTACTGATCATTAGTAGGCTATTTTGCAGGGGGCTGTGGAGGGGGAGGGATAATCGATTATAGCATTTTTAGTTAGCTGCTTGTTTCTATCAGCTTAGCGGTACTCGTAAACAAGAAAATCATTTGACTTTTTTTACTTTCTCGTATATACGAAGTATAGAGAAAGTCTTGTAATCGTGAAAAAAAAATCGAGATTTTGCAAATCTCGACGTTTTAGCCCTCCCTGAATCGGAAATACATAGTTTTGCAATCTTGTCCGCATGTCTGTGTGTGTGTGTGTGTGTGTGTGTCTGTCTGTCTGTCTGTAAACACGGTAACTTCAGTACCGTTACAGCTAGGTTGATGAAATTTTATAAATACGTATAATATCAAAATCGTAGATCTGTATCAACCTATGAGCGATTTCCGATAACCGGAATTGGAACTTTTTCTACTTTAAATGTTTCAAAAGCCTATAACTTGAGTACTACTTCAGATAGATACATGAAATTTAACAGGTAAGTAAAAGATGTAATTCTCTGTCATCTTTCAAATTTTGAGTAATTTCCGTTTGACCGCATGAAATATTTTTCGCTATTTCCGATTTCTCAAAAAGGCATGTGAATCTATAAAGTACTAATAATAATCTGCACTATTATGCACATTTTATTTGGCATTCACTTGGTTTGCAATTCTTTTTTCTACGAGATAGTATTCTATTTCAAAAAGTTTACGTATTTAAAATGGATCATGTCTATATCCCGAGTTCTCATCCCATGTTGTTTTATATAAGATATTCGAGAAAGTTTACGGGAGATCACTCCCGGTTTTTTTTTATTATAGCTAGTTAAATTGATTTGGAATAAATAACGATTGATGATGTGAGGTTGTAATAAACGAAATTATTGTGATATTTATGACATAGGCAATTATGTACCACACAATGTGACATTTAGGTTAGGTTAGGTTTGCTTGTCGCCCCTCCTGGGACATAGGCCGCTGACAAGAGCTTTCCAGATGTCTGTGTCCTGGGCTATTCTCGACAACTGTCCCCAGGTGTATCAAATCTTCTTGGCAGAGGCGTAGCGAGGGGGGGGGGGGCGGGGGGACATATGTCCCCGGGTGCCGACCTTAGGGGGCGCCAAAATGGGTTGGAAAAATAAATCGAAATCTTGAGGGGGGTGTGCAAATTGAAAGTTTGTTTCCGGGCACCGGGAAGGGTCGCTACGCCTCTGCTTCTTGGTATCTTATTCCAGGTCACGTCTCCAGGTCTTCCTTTGTCTGTCTCTCCTTCTCCTGTCACGTTGAACCATTCTCAAAGGAGCTTACGTCCACACAGACAAATTCACCAGCATGAAAAACACACAGCGTATACTTAATCAAATAATGCAAAAAATACACATCATACACATAATACCCATACTTAAGCTCTTCTGCTATACTGATCAGCACTATTTCTAACATTTACGCAATCTCGTGTCGTTGCATGCATACACAAACGCATTCACGAACAGATTATACAAACACTCATAAACATATTGTAAGCACTTGAAGAATATGTTTTAGGTGATAAAGTGATAGACTTTGATCACTTGCAATATACCTTATAAAGCATACATTATAATACCATCTCAGTAGCTTTGGCTATGTTTCATCCAGGTTAGAAAATTTTAAGGTTTTAAACGTGTAAAACGGAACGGAGTGGCCTTGCGGTAAAGAGCTGGACTGCTAACCCGTAAGTCTGGAGTTTGAATCCGTGTTCAAGTCATTACACCGTCTTTGAGTCAACATAACTCTGATGGGTGCCTAACTCACGTTAGGGTAAGTAAATTCGGCCGGGCATAGTGCTGATCACACTGTCCCTTCATTTGTCGATGTCACAGAAACAAGTGAACTCAACTTCACTTGCCTGGTATACCATCAGGTTTGAAAGGGAACTTTTGACACGTGTAAAATAGGAAAATCCACATTGTACAACTGCACTATTATCAGTAGTTGAAGCCTGTCTGTTGCTCTCCACATCACGACACCTCTTGAAATGTGACACCGAAGACAGTCTGCATCATCTGTGCACTGAATCCAGCTGAACTTTAATTATCATATCATAACCTAAAATTTGCAATAAAAACTTCGTGTTTATATCGAAGTACGATACAGCGATAAACTGCCTATTGTAATATGATATGGGTAATAATGAAGTCGGTGTGATGAATATATTTCACTTTCACCAGACAAGTTCCATTTATCATTGTATTCTGGACCTTCAACAAGAGGTAAGTATACTTTTTTTTAGCTTGTACAGTTAGTAGTTGTTTAAGGAGATAGATTAACACAACTTGAGGCAATATACCCTTGGCGGGGAAATGTTATCGTGTTTTGTCTTGAGCTATATGAGACATCACGTACTATATTTTTTACTATTTTATTTTTTTTCATTGTGACGTCTAACAATACAATATCATAAAATAGATTTACGAAATAAAGAATGTGTAATGTTAAATTGCTTGCTTGTATATTATGTGGAGTGTGGGAATTTTGTTTCAAGAAGTGGTATAAATTTTGGGACCCGGTGTTTGTTGAAGTTGATGATGCAACGTTATATCAGATGTGGAAACGGTCGAAAATGTCTACTTTAAGATATCCATTATATATATATATAGTTATATATATTTATTTATAT